CCCACCTGAAACTTTGTAAATAGTTTCATCTCATCCTAATCTACAACTATTTTATTTATGAAAACTCCTGGAATTGGGGCGTTTTCAATCGGAGGAGAGCAAACTTTAAGTCTATTTAATTAGGTACTAAAAACTTGTAAATACCCATTTCCTTTCTTTTGGACTCGTATGATACTTTGATCACAAAATCGATAAAAAATGTTGAGCCGTTTGTCTAATATAACCTCGTTATTTTGAAAATTTGGGGGTGTAGGTCACGCCAAAAGGCTCAATAGGCATCTCGATTTAAGCAGCTTACGATCTAAGCAGAAAGCAAATGGGTATTTACGAGTTTTTATTACCTTGTTAAATAGACAAAGTTTGTCTCCCTCCAGATTGAAAATTGTAAGATATAGATGATTTATTCTCGTACACAAAGAATTCAGCTATCGATTGTAACTGGTCAGGGCACCCAAGAAAAATAAGTTGTTGGCATAGATGTATATGTGACACGGAGTCAAATGCATTTGAGCAGTGAAGAGCTATGGTAGTAACGGTCTTGTTTGTGTTGGAGTTTCTTAACACATCGGCCTGCAGCTTCACTAAGCTTGTACTTAATAGTTCTCGAAATCCAGTTGGTTCCGGAGGAATTATTTCATTTTTTGTACAAAACTGCTGTTGGCGATTTTGGATTATCTTCTCAAAAATGTTTGAATGTGTGATAAAAGACTAGGCGGGTCGTAGAGCGATGGGCCCTTTCCAGTTCTCGTGGATTATACAGTTAAAAAAAGCACTTATTAAATTGCTTCAGTAATAAATCTACTTCCACGGATATAAAATCATCATGGTAAGTGGGACAGATTCATAAATCAATTTATTATCAAGATAGTTTTTTAGCGCCTTCCATTGTTCTAGACACTATGCCGCAAGGTGCGGTCATCTTTCAGTTTACCGTTGTGTTTTCGCCAGGACTCGGATTTGTATGCATTGAAACCCCATAAAATAAGCCATATAATATAAAATAAAAAAAAACATCAAATATGCAGCGATATGTTTAGTAAAAAAACACAACATGTGCGGTGAAAAAAATATCCAAATATGCAATAAAATGTTTAAAATATCCAATTACACTATTGTGCATACAAAAAATTTTGAAAAAAAAACAACAAAAAAACTAAAGATTAAAGATTAAATAAAATGATTCCATTTTTAATTTTTAAAAATTAAGCATAATGCAATAAAGAGAAACGTAATTTTAAAATATAGATTTATAACTGGTTAAAAAATGTAATATGAAATACATTTCAAGGACATATTATCAAAGTAATACTAACATAGACTGCAGTTAGTAATAAATAAAAACACCTATAGATAATTGTATATAAAAATGATAACTAATTGAGATATTTTAAAAATAATTTAAAAAACGCAAATGAATATAAAAATAGTTCAAACAAAAGTTAACAGTAATTAAAAACATAATGTGAGATACTTATTAAATATTAAAATAACACAGTTAGCAATAAAATAAAGCTAGCAGTTTTTTAAAATAAACATCAATTGACAACGTAGAAAATAAAAATAAAACACCTGGATTAGAAATTAGTTTATGAACCAAAATTTACAAATAAAGTTATAAATAAGACCTATAGATTTTGTTTTTTTAATTGTTCATATCTAAGATAATTTTGATGAGATACCAATTACCAAGTCATCAATTATTAATTATAAATGAAAAATGAAAATTATTAAAATAAGAGTTTACTTAAATACTGAAAAATTGACCGGTTAAGATTAGCGGTCTTGTATGAACAAGAGCTGATACATAAAACTCCTCCCAGGACTTTTATGGGCGGATTGAGTAGATTTGGCCAAGGTAAAGTCGTGGAATATTGCCAGAGTGGTTTTCGAAGCAGATTTGAAAATTCTAAATCAGCATCAATAGGGTATTATCGTATTTTTATATCGTTTATTTCGCTTTCGGAAATGCACTTAACATGTTTTTGTTGAATTCCGCCCAGCTACGTAGGCGTCGAACAAGCAAAACGGTCGTTCCTAAAAGTAAGTCTTTAATACTCACCGAAGGTTGAAAAGAAACGTTTGACACATATTGAATATTTATGTTTATGAGCGTTGCGTGTGACTGCATGATTCATTTGTATTGGAATCTAAATTTTTTATAAATATTGTATTAGATGAAAATGAATGCTTGATTATGATGGTATGTATTCACCAAGTAGTAATTTGAAGATCGAGATATAAGGGAATAAACTAGTATTCCCAAGAAATATCTATACTGTTTCATTGACACTTACAGAGCCAGTTGTACAATTGCAGTTCAATTCAAGTTCAAGCTTGAACTACAGTCAATCATTCATGATTTTTATGGTTGACTGTAGTTCAAGCTTGAACTTGAATTGAACTCCAATTGTACAACTGGCCCTTAATGAAATAGGATGAAAAACTATAATAAATAAGTAAAACTAAAATATGACGAGAATTCATTATAGCAAAAGAATAATTACCTGTACTCCTTTTTCCAAACAACAGAATTTATAATAATTACAAAATAACAGTACTTTAATACTCAATGTTATTAGTTGCGTATTACTTCGGAACCAATAACAATCGTTTTTATACGGCGAAGATCTTATTTCTTAACAGGGAGCGTGGAATATGGCATTAGATGTGGTTGAAATACGATCTTTAAATTGAAATCGTTCGTCAAAGTTTTAAATGATTATCGAGAAATTTTGCAACAGCATCAAGTCAAATCCATTTAAAATAACTGAATATACTACAGAGGGTTTATTTCTAGACTGTACTGGAATAAGATCTTTATAGTTCTTCTTCTTCTTTTATTGGAACAATATATAGTTGCTCAATCAGGTGATCAACAAGAAGATCGCTACTAAATTTAAGAAGCTGAACTTTTACAAATATGGATTCTGTTGATTCCTGAATAAACTTTCCTTATCCTCCCTTTTTATTCATTTTCCTGACTTTTATACTGGTTTGAAGAATCGTGTTAGGACTTATCATTTAAATCTATCGATTTGTTCATTTGCGGATTTGCTAAACGTCCATGTCTCAGAACCATAACATATTACAGGTCTAATAAGAGTCTTATATATTACATCTAACATATTACATCTACCTGATCTTAGTGGTCATGCTCAGCAACCTACTGTGTAATATGAATAGGTTGATTTGAGTAAAGTAAGCTTTATTTCCTGTGGTAAATGGCGCATTAAAGTAAATTAATCCAAATGCCAACATATTACCTTCACACTCCCACGCAATTCCTATTCAGACCAGAACACTTTAATTCCATCCAGCTTCCTTTCTCAGATACAATCCACTATCTAGGCTTTCTCTTAGACAGACGACTAACATACTAGACACTCATACTTGACTTAAAAGTCAGGAACATAACCAACGATACGGCCAACTATACAGACTACTAAATAGAAAATCTAAACTTTCTATTGAAAACAAAATACTGATCTAAAAGACAATACTGAAACTTATTTGGCCTTACGAACTTGAACTGTGGGGGAGAGCAAAATTTTCTAACATCAAACGCATCTAATCTTTCCAGTCCAAAGTCCTTCGAACAATAGTCGCTGCTCCTTTCTATGTAACCAACAAAACCCTACATCATGACCTTAATATCTCATTTGTCCTAGACCTTATCCCAGAAACATTCTCCAAATTTCACCAGAACGTTACCTATTATCCGAATCCCATTTTACAATCCCTATCCAGTACCGTCCATCCCTATAATCCTCCAACGACAGTGGCCCCGCGACCTTTTATGGAGTTCTGGCAATGGCTGGAGAATCTGGAATGTATGTGGCTAAAGCGGTCTCGCTCAATTTCCAAAAGGTTTAGCCCCAGAGACGCGGTTGAGAGAGTAGTGTAGGAATCTCCTGGAGTCATGCTTTTCTAGATGGTTCCATATACACTTCATTTTGAATATTCAGAAGAAATGAAGAATAATATTCGCGATGTAAGCCCTATCAGGCTAAAGCCTATCAGGGTAAATCGATGAGGATAAAACTTGCCTTAAATAGAAAACAACTTAACAACAAGTTGAACTAATGAGTTTAATCAAAATGGTTTGAGCCATTTTAGACAAAATTGTAAAAACGTGTAAAATTAATGATATTATGAGGGGTTTCCGGTTAGCCAATTTTGACGAAAAATTGCTCTACCATCTCCCTCAATTGCCATTAACGAACTTTAATGTGCCATTTTATTCAGCATTTCGGTTTAGAGCTAAATTGTACACAGACAGAGACACATACACTGACTATTTTTTGCGACTAGGTTTTTTCAATTCAAATTTCAAAACCTGTATTTTCGTCGAAATCTTGGATTAGAAAATGTTCACGATCGTAACGATTTTTCCTACTACATATTTTATTTACAGATAAGCGAATTTAAAAATAAAAATTGTGCGAAAATAGTTATACCAAGCATAAAAATAAATAAGTGATTTCAAACTAACTCAGCCTAATGCCGAAGAGTCGGAATGCTAAATATTCGAATGAATTTATAAAAAAACTTGTAATCCATTGAAATTTAATGGAGTGTATTCTGCAATAAACAGTGACCTTAATTTAAAAAAGTTGTAAAATAGCCTTCCTAATTATATGTAATCAGAATGTTTGAAATTGATATGAAAATCTATGTTCATATTATAAATTTTAATAACGGAAACAAATGACTGAAGATTATAAATAAATAGGTATTTAATTCTATTAAGTAATTTAAATAATTCATAGATCTCTGATGATTTAATAGGAATAATAGGTTAATTACATGAAGTATAATTGTATTTATTGTAAGCGGTTTATAATACTGTTCTTCTATGAGCTCTTTCCCTACTTCTCTACAGAAACTGAGGTACTAGTAATTTATTTATATACACCTTACTTAACCTTAGTCAGTCCCAGATTAGTGTAGCATATTTACAATTACCTATACATTATTTTTTCTATCGTTTTTGTTTCAAATTATCTCTTCTTGTTTTTTAAAGACCGCTTCATTGGGGCAGTTTTCCTCACTCCTTTTTTACAACTCTCATCCGAACCAACAAACCTTATCTTGTAAAATACTAAGCCCTTCCTACTGTTCCTGATCAGCCTTCCATCGGCCACAGCCGCTTTCAGGAACTTGTGGATGTAGACCCTCTTCTTGGTAACGTCGTATAGGTAGGTACCTAACATATATTTCTTTATTGCAGAGAGAGGTACGCCTTTCTTCTCACTTAAAGCAATTATTGCATTTTTGATCATTTCTTCAATAGTCAATTTCTTAGGTATGTTCTGATAATAGCTTAAATGACTCTTTTTGACTGGTTGTAAAACAGCGGTTGAGCAGATTCCACCATCCATGTCTTTATTAATTATTTATATAAAATTTACTTTATGAATTCGATTTTTACAACACAATATGAAAATATGTTATGATTTTGTCACTAAACTATTTTAGAACATATGATGTATATTTTAATATCAAATACACATGAGAATGTTTGTATATTTTTTCCCCCGAAATTTCGAGAGGAATATACGGTGATTATGAAAAACGTCTAATCCAAGTTTTCAACGGAAATACAGTGTGAGCGTGGTTAACAGAATAGCTAAAAAAGAGAAAAAAAATACTATAACACTGATATTACGTGTTTAATTTTAGTATAGCATCTTTTTGTCTAAAATCGTGATGTTCCGCTTTAAATCTTGGATTTTACACATTTTTTGAAAATTGAAAACATATTACTGGAATTATTATTATTGACATAAATCATAATCATAATCATAAATAATCATAATGGAATTATGATTATTAACATAAAAGTATATTGTAGAAAAGCTAAAGATTTTAGAAAATATAATATCTAATATATATAGCTCCAGAAGGTTGAGGAGATAAAGTTAAATGACTTTTAATGTTATTGGTAATAATGTCCACTTTTAAACTATCAAATCAGAAATAAACTTCTCAGCTACTAATCATGATGTTTTATACTAGTTTCGTTATTATATAATGAATTTTTTTTTCTTTTTGCGCGCAGCTCTATTACACCATTGTTAACATTATCTATCCATCTGCTTTTTGGCCTCCCACGTGGTCTTTTGCCTTTATTGAGGCCTTCCTTATTTCTATTATGTGATGCTAATTTAATTTGTTCCAAAAAGACATTTTTCTAGAATAATAAAGGTACTTTTTCATTTACATTTTCATTTTATTTCTTAATCAGGGAGAGGAAGATATAAAACCGAACTCTTTCTCTGTGAGAAAATTTCCATTTGTTATCATATTTCCTGATGTAAAAGTGAAAATGAAAAAGTGGTTGTGAAAGGTGTGAATGAAGTTAATAAAATAAATGAATAAATTAACTCGACGGTTCAGCTAATAAAAAAACCGATTAATTCATAATAAAAATAACTAACTTGCAAGTTCCAGCCATGAGCACGCATGAAAATTGAGACATTTTAAAAATATTTCGCAATTAATGAAAATTATCGTGACATTTCGTTTTGCCAGACAAAGTAACAACCCACACAGTAGCTGACATTTAAAATTATTAATTACTAACCACCTTGAGCTAATTTCGGGTCGTTAAAATTTGATATTATCTCTTGAGAAAACCGAAAATCGCGTCATTATTTATTATTATAATCAGATCTAGCATATCACGTTCGTGTAAGAGATAACTGCAATGACAACTTGAGTAAGTACATAATAGATTTTTGAAAGCTACTGATTGCTAACGTTTTCCTAGGTTATCAATCTATTATTTTGATTTGGTTAAAATAACGTTAATTGCCTTTTCACAAGCTTTCGGAAATGCTAAAGACTAAAAATTATGTGTGCTGATAATGTGCAACTATCGTAAATGTTACAGTAAAGCCTGGATTCCTGCAAAACTTGACATTTTCTAATAAATCATGGAAAATGGATTGTTATTGTGTAAAGGATTAAAAATCTTTGGGAATCGAGTAGAATAAAGTGGATGTAGCTAGGATAGCTGTTAAAATAATATTCACGCAAGCCATTTGAAGGGCCACGTCATAAAATTCGGATGTGTGAAAAGAAATTATTCATTATGTCCTTTTTCATTAACTTCTCCTTCAATCGTAGAAATAGACACAATTATTTAAAAAATATGATAATTCACAATTTTAAATATTTAAAGTGAATTATTGAAAAGTTTTCCATTTTTTTTTCATTTAAAAAAAAAATACAAAATTTTAACTTTTACCAATATCTGATGGTAAACGTCCGATTTATCCTTTTTTAACTTAACACTGTCGCCATTTTACCAAGATTCAAAGACAATATTAAATTTTAACAATAACTCTTGAAAAATTTAATATTTATCAGTAAACCTCAGATTTTAGCAATCGTCAAATTGCATAGTACCACACACCCACACATGTATATTAAATTTATTTACTCAGTTCAAATTATAACTGTTATAAATACAAATAAAAAAACGCTGCAAATTATTTCACAATGGTTTATTATTTCCAAACAATTATGCATCTAAAGTAACATTACCTTCCGAGTTACAAAGAACAAAAAACAAAAGGTGATTCCAATTATTGGACTAAACTGTTTTTCTTTAATCATTAGTAATATGCTGAAAAAAAAAACCTTAGTTCAGTAACACATTTAAAATTTAAAAACCAAACCAAGGATATAACATTTGGAGTAAAACACATAAAAAAAACCTCATAAAAAAATTTCGTAATCTTTTAAAAAACCATAACAATATTAAAAACTTTTCGAGTTATTCGGAATTTAATTTTACCGTCCCTCGTAACTTTTTTCCAGCTTCTTTTCGTTGAAGTATGTTATATAGATCAATTTAAAGGGCGTCGAGAAAATGACTTTAGCGAAGTTTCATTGAAATCAGTACATTCGTTTAGGAGCTACAGTCTATAGCAACGCAGATTTTTCGGCCGCCATTTTGGAAATTAAAGGCGGAGAGTAATGTTGATGAAGGAGAATCATCCTCGGGTGACCTCTGATTTTATATCAAAATTTGAAAAAAATGGGTCCAGTAGTTTTGGAGAAAATGCGCGGATGGCGGACGGCGGACGGACAAAAAATTTTTTATTGGTTTTTCGAATTCAACGCTTCTTGAAACGTGAAACCTCAAATTTTGAGAGGGGGTTATGTTTTTGAATTTTTTGGTCGATCACAATGTTTCATTATTGAAAACGATAAACCAAAAAATTTGACATACTCATGAACAAAAAATAACGTGAAAGTTTACAGTTAAGCAAATACAATTAAGATAAATTTACAGTAGAACCAATAAACAAACTAAGGTAAATTTAATAAAAAATATTTATTATAAAAATACAGAAGCCCCAAATTTATTTAATAGTGTATAGTTTATAAGAACTAACGCCTTACTCAAACGTCTTTACTCTAGAGTACTAAAGACGGGACATTTATATTAATCAGTATATAAGCAGGTCAATATTTATGTCTTAGGTCTGCCACAAAATAACCAGTCGGAAGAACCAGGTTGGCTTCAAGGCTTTTAATGATATTGGCTAATGTCATTTAGAATTTAGCAAATGTATAGACTTTTTTAATGTGTTACTCTAGATTTTTATTCTGATGTTACACATACAAATTTAGAATCTGTGAGCGGTTTGAGAAACTTAATTAATAATGTTATCTTGCCCGGTATATAAGATCGCAAGACCAAGACCAATACTGGTACAAAAAAATCGTTTTTTCGAATAAAAATCAGGGCAAAATAGTTACTAATACTTGAAAATTTTAGTTAGTATATGTAATGAATTGGTATAACCAATATATTTTTTGCATTTAACTCTTCTAATTTTTTATTCGGGCCTAGTTAAATTTCTCCTATCTAAAAAATTACAGTAATATCTGTATATTAATAAACTAATAGGTAACTGCAACACTCTTGTGCAAGACCAAGACTAAGTACGCAAGACCAAGGTGAGTCTTTTTTAATAATCGTTTTTATATTTTATAACCGACAGTATTAAAAATCGTTGTTAACCGTAGTGCCTATTGTGTAGATAATGAGTTATTGGCCTCATCCAAGGATACTGCCTTCTGAAGCTTTAGGATGCTCCCTTACAATACTTAAATGTATCATTATTTATACCAAACATTCCACAATTGAAGTAATATGAATTTTGGAGCAGTGTTTTGGCAAACTTGATCTAAAAGTATCTGGATTCTGTTCCACCATGGAATAATGGAGATTATACAAGCTGGGTCGGGAGGAACGAACTAAACTGCAGGACTGGGTTTCATACAGTAAAATAATTTTAAAAATTCTTTATTCTTATAAGATTTCCATTTGTTTAAACTTTATCTGAACCATTGCCTCACAACTACTTCAGATTTTTTTTTTCTGAGTTCTGCGCATGCGTTAGCCCTAGTTAAACATACGTCAGGTCGTCTCTTATAAAAATCTCATTTATCAGTGGCAGTATACAAGTTTAATGTGAACAATTAATGTTATCAGTTACATTAACAATTACGTTTGATACTGGACAAAAAAATAAGGTGAGTAATCACTTATTTACAACACAAGAGTGAACAGTGTAAATAGACCTTAGGTTAGTTAGATAACGACCAGCCATAAGCTGCACCAGTCGTTAATCCTACTAGTGGGCTAGATCCCTCCGCCGGAAGCAGATCTGTGCTCTCCAAGAGCGCGTCTATATTTACGTGTTCAATAAAATTTTTTTTTTCCTCTCTTCACATTTTTCAATTTTTCTTTTAAAAATAAATATGAAATGCGATATTATCACATGCTAATGTCGAGTAAGGGCAAAAACACCAGGTCCAGGAGCCTCGATACTACAATTAGTTCTCCCATTAAAAAAAAGACAAGGCATTCGAAAAGAAACACTCCACCAGCCACACCAGGGAGCTCCATAGAAGAAGTGGAACCCCAACCTGGCTCCTCACAACAACCCAACAATTATGAGACAACTCAAGCTATGGGTGAAGAATCGCCGTTTTTCACTTCGAATCCATTTGAAGTGCTTTCAAATATAAATAACGAACAAATGGAAGCAGCATCCATCCCCAGAGAACCCAAACCCCCACCAATATTTGTTAGAAATATTAAAAATTTTCAATTGATGTGTCATCAATTGAATAATCTGGTAGGTTCAGGAAAATATTTATGCCAAAGCCGCACCAATGACACTAAGTTAATGCCCGACACTCCAGAAACCTATAGAAAAATCATAAAATATTTATCTGACACCAAGGCTGATTACCACACGTATCAACTGCGTCAAGAGAGGGCGCTCAGGGTCGTTATCAGAAGACTGCACCCATCTACGCCAACAGATGCTATAAAAGAAGAGCTCACGGGTAT